GCAAGACGGAACCAGCTCCTGTATTAAGAAAGCGTCACCATCAGTGATATAGTCGACAGTGTGTTGGTGTTCGACAAACCTGCGGATTCACCCCAGATCGTCACTTTTGATGGGTCACCACCAAAGGTGCTAATCTACGTCATTATCAAAGGGTTAATAATCACAACAAATTGGAAGCAACAAGTCAAGCCAACATGTGATTGAACCCACTGCAGTGCGTAGTTTTGATCAACTGCAAGAAGGTCACCATTGTTTTGTTTGAGTGGAGTGCGGAAACGTACGAAGCCCAGCGTTCAGAGCACCGCCCTCCTTGACTGCCTCGCCAGACAAGAACCCAAACAGACCAAGGCGGTACTGAATGAGCACCACAATGACGCCGTGATCAGAGTCCATGATCAAGTCTGCCCCATTGAATTGGCTCGCAGCCCCGGAGATATATCTGAGAATGCCGAGAATAAGAGTTTTGCAGCCTACAAAGAACACATTCGCACCCTCCTCCATGAATCCAAACGATAACGGGAAGGCCACCAGACGTCGCAGCGCTAACTACCTCACCCGGGGTATACACACTAGTCTGCCACATCAATGAACGCGTCCAATCCGCATGTCCAGTCAGGCGTACTCACTTCAGGAATAAGCAGTCCTCCGACTCGCTGACAGCGCGTTTGGCCAGGGAGCCGGTGATGAAAGGGTTGGTCGAAGCGTTACCTGTCGGAGCTTGATAGCACTCATTTGGCTGCTCAGTAGCCTGCTGTACGCCGGTCAACGTTGGCGGAGGTTGCGGCGCCGCCCAACGCAAGTTGTCTAAACAACAGGTTGGTGCGAATGAGAAATACAGCACATACAACGGGCGTACCAATAGGGGGGGAAGCATAACGAATACCGAGGAAGCTCGTGGTGTTAGTAGTAGTATTTACAGCGCCTTGATATTGTGCATAGCCAAGATCCACGATCGGAGCAGAAGCTGCTGAAGCGACAGGCGAGCCAAGCGCTAATAGGCAGAGCAACGACAGCTGGAGGACAGCTAGAAGGCCAGTCTTGATCACCATCGTAAGATGAACCGAGTCCCCGTGGGCTCCTAAGCAGCCGTAACGCACAGGCGAGACTCCTTTGGGTGTTTATAAACATCCTGTGGCACTCCGTCGGGTATTGGTCACAGGGCAGAATCTCCAGAGTCTTGAGAAAAATGCAGCAAGGCTAGGAGAAACATGATCAGCTGAAGAATCATAGGACTCGAGCATGCGTCGACCCGGATCAGCTGGTGAAAGCTATATAATCCCAGGACATGATCGTCAGTCACAACGACCTAGAGTCCGAGTCAAACAGAATGGCTCTAAATTTGCGTCCAAATCGAGAGGAAATTTCAGGGTCATCTTGCTTCCGTAGAACTTCTACGGCCTGCCAAAATACACAAGCTCGGTTCGATTACTCGACCTCTGCGTGGACGATCGATGAGCCACGGCTTTTTGCTGGTCTCTTCGAGAAACCGATCGCAGGACTTCTTATCCCACAGTTCTCGTACCGAGAATGTATGGGGCTTCTCATCCCACGAGACTCCTACCGAGGGCATGCGGGCCGCTGGATGGGTAGATCCCAAAGTGACGTTCGGAGTTGTGGCAGATTGACCTGCGAGGGTCACAAGATCCATGAGGTTTTGACACATTACGGTAGAAGCTCAAGCTGGAGCGCAATCTTATAGTACTCAGTATCAGCGGCCGTGGATGTAAATACAGAAGTAGTTCAATTCCATACCAGGATAAATGTACGACATCACTGAATCACAATCCAGACGGGGAGTCATAGGCCGATAAGCTGGTAAGTTGCATCGATCCGACATCGATATGGTCATGGCTGGGGAGCCTGCAATCAGATACAATAGCGCTCACGCTATGGCATAGGTAACATTCAGTTTGACGACATTTCTTAATCTGACTACGACTTGAGGTCGAGAATTATTTTGCTCACCTCAGGATAATATCCCTGTCAGACCCAATACGGGTTCGCGACAGTGACATAATCCACAGGGCGAAAGTCCCTTTCGACTAACTTTGCCTTGATCACAGGAACACGCTGGGAAGCCTCTTGGAACGACTCGAAGTCCATAGGTGTGGCGTCTGCGTCGGTCCCCGAGTCTGTGAGAACAAGATAGATAGGTTCCTTGAGGCAGTCGCATGGAATAACTCCGATTAAAATTGCATGCTGTTCAATTCATCACTTGATAATGTGGATGCATAGCGGCACCATCTCCAAACTTGATCATATGTCAGTATATATCCGCCAACAATCCATATCTATGTTGACAAGTCAGTACGGTAGGTGCATTTTGGCTATATGCACACCTTGGAAATCTAGATCAGCCTCAGAATGGGGCTAGCACCGGACCCATAGTGAGGAGTTGAGAAATTAGCAGTGGTTCAACGTCGGAAAATCCAGGATCATGTGAGTTACGTACCCTCGGTGATACATGAGGCTCTCACTTCATCACTTGAAGGTGATCTCATGTTGATTATATGCACAACGTCCATGTGGTAACCTTGGCAGCGACGATTTTTTACGCCGTAGCATTACTGGTACCCATCAGTGTGGGCTCTCCGACGTAGCATATCCACGCGGCTTGCGTCTCGTGTTTCCCAGTGGTGAGTGGGGTTAATTTGAGATAATTCGAAGCGGGCGTGATCGCGGCCGGACGATATCTAGTTAGTGCGCACCAACAGAGGGATTCCAACCACGATTAAATCAGCCTCTGAATGCTGTGCACCTCCAAAGAGTGTATACGCCTGAACAACGCGCCTATCGCCGCCATGATTCTTGGAAACTCTTTCCCTCAGACATCAGCACATCAGCAGTCTCCTTGCCTAGATGTGATAACAGAGCAAACATAGAAGCCCTCAAAGACTACTGTCGTGAGCCATAAATGAAGAGGACAAGGAAAGACATGGACCCGACCAGGGCGGTGATTCATCTGACGGCCCCGACGTTGTACAGTCGCAGCTCTCGAATGATTTTTGCGCAAGTCGCGATTGTCCCACTTGGTGAAACAGGCAACGTGGATTACCTCGCATTCAAAGATCAGAAGAGTGCTAAGATGGCACCTAATCGAAACATCAGCGAGGCGAATATAGCGCACGGAGAGCAACGTGAAGCACAACAGAAGCTTCGGCCCTCCTCGAATCCCTGGCGTTATTTGCGTGTTTGATCGCGCCTGCTGAAATGCCATTCAGGCCGGGGTCCGAGTGAAAATTTTCAAGTTCAGAGCCAAGCCCAGAATGAAAGGTATGACATAAATTCGTTGATTGCTTAATGAACATTGGTACGAGGAAACGAGACTAGTTGGAGAGGAGGCGACATGCTCTAAGCCATGCTATGTACGCGTACTCGCGCTCTAGAGCTGATGAGGACGCTCATTCAAGATCGAGGCGAGCGTCTGAAACGCACTGCGAGGATGAACTGGCCGGCCATTCATTTCATATGGGCACGGACGTCCAGCTCACCTGCATTTTCCAGAGCTGCCTCAGTGCTGTCTCCAACGATGCACATCAACTGCGCACGAAATGTACTGGAAGCCATTGGGCGATGGACATCGGCTGGGGCGCACGGGCCATCGATGGAATCGGCGCCTGGGTTTCGGAACGATCGTTCACTTCGTGGGGACAAGGCACGGCGTAAGAACATAGTGTGGGGTCCGTGTGGGGTCATGGATGCAAGAGACGTGACAGCTGGGCTGGGCTGGTCGATTTTCCGCGCGTCTTGCGAGTCCGAAAATGTCCTCGAGAGCAACGGGCGATTCAAGTCGGTGAAGTTGCTATAGACACCGACTTGTATGCCACAGACAGGCTGTGTGCATCATGTGTACAGGCTACCTGCAACGGAACAGTGCATGGCATACATACACGAGCTCAGCTCATTAACTCATCAGTCAGGTAGTGAATTGCAGTTCGGCGCTGGATGGGACTGGATGGAGACGGGAGCGAGGGTACTCGACGTCAGCTGGAAGGAACGAGGCGCGAGAGCAACCTGCCATGGGCGAGGCGTGCGTGCGTGGCAGGAATACATACGTCGTGTGTACGTATTATACAGGACGCGCTGGCGAGCTCCGGGCGGAAGAAGTAGACCGATCCAGGCGGATTCGGGGGCACCAGCTAGGAGAAGATGCCCGGCGGGATGGGAATAGGGATGTTGCGCAGGGAGAGGTAAAGATGAGCGGGCGACGGACAAGCTGAGAGGGCAGCTTGGGCGCACAGACGGTAGGGACGGAGGAGGAGGGAAGAGGAGGACGGTCAGCCGTGCGAGGAAGGACAAGCTGGGCCTTCCGGGTTTGCCCATAAATGGCGCTCACGTGGTCCCGCTCCATTCAAAGAGGGGAAAATATATCTCGGCCTCCCCCTCGTCCGACTCTGCTCCTCGCCCCACTTTGCTTTCTCCATCGTCGGCCCTCAAGCTCAAGGCCTAGCAGCGGCCAGTACATCCAGTAGCACTACGACCACTCGCACTCGACATTCTGGCCACCGTCCTGCTCGCTCTTGATATCTTCTGCGATCCATCTCACCACTGCTCCTCGCATCTACCCTCGGACGGACACTCTCGCCTGCATACACACAGCTAGCAGCGAGATCCGCGTTGTATCATTGCATTTCCTACTCGCCACCTTTCGCGCGCCTTATCCCTCACACGCGCGCCTCAGTGCACCTATTGATCCCGTGCGATGCGGAAGAGCTGCCTGAAGCTGGGTGCGTCCCCACCCCTGACGCCAGACATGAGCATGTCGCCGACGCCGAGCGACTCAGGTCGCAGCTCGCCCTGTTCGTCGTCCGATGGATGCTGTCGGGCGCGCCTACAGAAGTCGGTCTCGTTCTGCGCAGAGGAAGCGTTGGAGGAGGTGTTTTTTGCGGACGAGTGGGATCGTTCGCCTGCACCCGTGGCGCCGAAATTGTCGTACGAGTGAGTATCCGCTGTATTCTGTGCTGCTGCTGTGCACGACGACGTCGACGACGGTCGTGTGCGTGAGTCAGAAAAGCTGCCTTATTGGGCAAGCGGCTGGCTTCCGTCATCACCCTGTTTCCGCGTTGGCTGCGACGCGTCTGCGCCAATTTCCTCCGTCATCGCCCTGGCCATGGCTGACCCACGTGACATTTCCGTAGAGACATCCTCGAGCTCAAGCAGCTCCGGCTAAATGTCCCTTGCTTCTCTCCTCCGCCCACTTACCGCCAGCCTTTCACCACTTCCTCCCCATCTGCCTACACCTCCCCGCACACACCATCCCCCAGCACCTCAACGTTTCCCTACTCCCGCTTCGCCTCGCAGCCCTCTCAGACACCTTCACGCTGGAAGAACCGGTCTCAGCCTCGACATTCCGTCGACCCTGATATACTACCGTATCTTGAAGCTGTTCCCATCCGTCTTCTTCCTCTCCTCGACCCCGCCACTTCGGAGGATCTCCCCCGAAGCACACCACCGACGCGGCCGAACATGCCATCATCTACCATAGAAGTGGTCACGCGGCCGGATCCAGCTTTGAATATAACCTCCCAACCTATGACGCCACCGGAACCTTCATCTACCGCATCCATGCCTTCTTCTGCACTACCAGCGCACTCACCACAGCCGCAAACACCAACCACCCCTACATTGCCGGTGTCATCATCGCAGGTCACTAATCAGTCGGCACCTACCTCCTCCCCTGCTATCGTTCCTCCTCCTGTCAGCTCATCGCCTCCCACTCCTCTCCGCAAGGTCAAGTTTGCGTTTCTTCCGCTCTTGCCCATGCAGGACCCGCTCCCATCGCAGCCGGACGAGCCGCCAACGAAGAGCGTTGAGCAGCCCCCAAGACGTAAGATCAATATGACTTTCTTGCCGCTTGCTGCACCTACAGGAACAACAGACAAGACACCCCAGCAGAAAGCAAAGGAGAATATTGTCGTCGAGCCGGATGATCCTACTACACCTTCCGTTAATGGACCTTCTTCACCTCTACTCTCCACGGTCGTCGTTACCGATCGGGAGCAAGAACCTTTGCTTTCTCCGGGCGCAGACACACGCGAGAATGAGCACTTTAGCGAGCTCGACCACGACCTGCGCAATGATCTCGCACGCGCGCAATCGCCTACATTCTCTACAGCAGACACCACACCCGCACTGTCATCCGCCAGCGACACTGATACCGAGTTCGACACTGACGCGGACGCCGACACCGATGCGGACGCGTCCCCTGGCGAGATGGTTGCCGACGCGCAGCTCAACCTCGAACACCCATTGTGTTCGCAGCACACACACGACTACTTCCCGTCGCGCCTCTGCTCGACTGCGGGCCAGACGCCGCCGCTCGGCACGCTCTACCCAAATGCAGATCGCGTCTTCCCTGGTGGAAGCCAGGCGAGCGCGATGCGCAAGGCGAAGGCCGCGGCACAGGCGCGTGAAGAGTTATCGCTCCCACTGTCTCTACCTCCAGCGCTACTCAAATCAATGCGCCTCGCAGCGCTGCCGTCCCCCGCCCTCATTCCGCCCTCGCCGTTCTCGTTGTATCCGCCGTCGTGTGAGACGACATTAGGTGCGCGCGCAGAAGCTGAGAGGGCGATCGTTGCGGATAAGGGGGTGGTGAATGAGGTGCACGGCGCAGATACGGCGCTGATGCCCTCGTCGTCGCTCGTTGTGGAGGCAAGCACGTCGCCGTATGTCTCGCCGAGTGGGTTTGAAGGTGTCCTTGCGCCGAGCGGGGCGGAAGAGAAGGATGCGAGTGTATTGATGCCGAGCTTGAGGCGCAAGCCGGATAGTGTCGTTGGAGCTGGTATACCCTCGTGAGCGGGGGTGTACTCAGCGTTGCGTTGTCTATCGCGCTGGTTGGCGAGCTTCTTGTGTCTGTCTCCTCCGTTGTTCTTACCCTCACCGTATTTTACATCTTCACCTATACCATCGCCGCATTCATATTATCACACACTGGACCCATTCATCTGTCCGCATGCAATGCTAGATGCTTCGCCACCTTACTACGTCCATCGTCCTCATTGTTCTTGTTGCACGGCCCACGGGCCCGATTTATTGCTGTCTTGTTGTCCTGCCTCCTGCATATCGCCAGTGCCATACAATATAATACAGTATAGTACAGTGCATTGTGTGCGGGAGAATGTGGTAATCTTATTTTGCTAATTTACATCTTGCGCGGTTGACATCAGTGTGTCCAATTGGAGTGCGGTGCCGCTGCGGAAAAATACATGCCAGCGTTTGTAGCAGGTGATGATGGAGACAAACAGAAATAGTGCAAGGTGAGAGGGGTGTGGAGTAACTGTCGTACCAAGGCGAGGAGGCAGCCGAGATTTGTCACGGTAGGGGGGTGGATTGTGGTCCGATTGATGCATGGTGGGAGCGATGGGTATCCGAAGACGAAGTCGTGAGCCGATGCGAGATAGACTGATGCGACACGATGTAGTTGTGAGGAAGAACCGAACCAAGACGGCGGAGGCGAATCGAGTTGGGGATGGGGTATGATACACACTGAGTTGTCCGGGGGATATACAAATTGTTATGTTATGAGTAGGGATCAGCTGTGGCGGAAGCAGTCGCATGAAGCAGGATGGTTTGAACCTCGAAGATTTGCCGATAATTTGGAGAAGTGATCAAATGGCAAGAGAGACGCATACAAAATGACTGCGGCTGGTGTGCTCTGGGACAGCCGGCGGACATGTGAGTGAACGGCGAGATGAAGAAATGTGCCATGGCATTCGGCTTACCTGCAGCAAATCATCGCAGACATAGCTCGTCGACGAGCGAGCGGAGTCTCTCAGTCAGGTCGCTGATGGAGCTGAGGTAAACCGACAGCCGGACGTCAAGCCTGCGCAGACGATGCCCAACGGCGGCGCGACGAGCAAGGTACGAGACCAAGAGATCCTCGGAGGAGAACGGATCATCGTGATAATGCAGGTCTTTAATACCCACGCACGCCGGAAGCGGTGCATTCCCCTCGTCCCCCGACGCGCAGCCCGCGTTGAGGACCATCAAAAGTGCGTCCGTGGCGGCCTTGTCAAGCCAGACGTCGAGGCGCTCTAAATGGGGCATGCTGCGCAGGATGAGCCGCCAATCATCCTCTCCGACCGGGTCCGTCGGAAACTTCAAGATGAGGGCGCGGACCGGGCATGTGGAAAACATGAAGGCAAGGTCTCGCAGGAGATGGCGGAGGAGGCCCGGCTTCTCCGCCGTCGGCCCTTCGAATCTGAAGTCAGAGTAGAGGAGGTCCACTGAGAACACGATGGACCCCTGTGGGTTGAGGACCCTGAAGTTGAACACGCCTTGTCCGAGAAGCAATGTCAGGTCTACATCGATTCTGTTGACACTCTCCGTATCAAATAGCCAAGGTCGATGGCGGGAAAGCAGCCCAGACACGATAGGGACATAGTCGCCCTCGAAATTCGCGTTGCCTACCCAATATATCGATATGTCAAGGCGCACGCTCAGTGGCAGCGCGACATGATCTAGCAGGTGCGAGCAATTAATTGGGACACCGTCGAAAGTCAGGAGTTCCAACAACGGGAGGGTAACGATTCGAGTGGGCTTGGGATACGCGCTGAGGCTCTCAATATCCGGCCCAGCATTCCTCAAGTGCAAAATACGGAGATTCCGACAGAATTCCAACACGTCCAAAAATGTGTCCATCGTTGGATTGTGATATATTCCGTCATGGAGTGCTGTGAGCGATAGCTCTTGTAGATTCGCAAAGGCGGGTGGGTTCCAGTCCGTGCTGACACAGGTGAGTGTGAGCGACGTAAGCTTCCAACGGATATCCATGGGCACTATTGCAGGATAAAATTGCGCCCAAGGACGCTTGAGAAGCAGACATTCCAAATTGGGCATGGAGAAATTGTCGAATATTGTCTGGAAGATCTGCCCCGTATGGAGGTCGGCGTTAAAGCGGCGAATGCGATGGGCATGGGGCAATAGGACGTCAAGCAGCACGGCCGCGGAATCCTGGACTCTGTCGAGGAACTTGTTAGGGATATGGATGTCGAGGCGTGCGTTCGCAGAGCGTTCGATGCAGTGCCGTACGAGCTGCAAATCATCTCCAAAATCGAGCCGATTCCACAGCGTGGGGGAGGTCATGGCGACACCGCGCCACCGACGGCATACAAGAGCGACTGTGATCCATGAATGACGGGAAGATAATCCCTGTACGCACTGGAATAATTCTCTGAGGACATCATCTGGAAGTCGGTTGATAGGAATGCACAAGTTATGTATGAGATCGAGTTCGCCCAAGTGCTTCATGATCTCGCACCGCCTGTCTGCGATCCACTTGAGCGCATCCGAAGAGGGCATGCTAGAGAGCATACTCCTTTCGTCGTCCGAGAACGGGTGCTGTGGGATATGCAACATGGGTGGCATGTCTTTCGTCAAGGTCAAACGGATCAGCTTCGGGCTCGTCTGTCCAAGTAAGAGGCAAATCCTACGGTAGTGCCTTGGCTTGAGGCATAGGCAGCAATCGCCAGTGACGGTATCTTGAAGAGAGAGTCAGCCTGCGAACTTTCTTACCACAGGATGCGGAAGAATGCTCAGCATATACTCAGTTGCAATACTTCCGAGCCAGCTTCAAGCCTAGATCCTGACGGCAAATTGTACATCGTGTCTTACATATTACCAAATCACACTGTTAGCCGTGTAAATTATACTTGTGGTATATCCCAACATTGAATTATCTCCAAGTTTTCATGGTCGACCATGACGTTCACCAGTTGTCGAGCGGACTGCATCATGTTCTCGCGGCCTAGGTGTGCTTTTGAACTATAGAACTGGCGACCCTGCTCAAGCGCAACGACCTATCAACGACACGCAGTCACTTGCGCCCATTCTGTCTCATTGCGATTGACTGTTCAACGTACGATAATATGACCAACACATTGGATCAAGCTACTGGATCCCATAATTTGTGCACAGACCATATCCTGTGAGTCAAAATATAGCCTGCTTCGCACTGACATTGCCCCTGCAGTGATCTATGCATTATGCCTTCGGGACCGCATATCTTGCGACGTAACATTTGTCCAAACGCACCGCCGCCATATATGCATGAAAGATAACCATGGTGCATGAGAGTCAAACTCCTGTAAGTAGATCAGCAGATGATGAAAATGTAGTGATTCGCTCGATGAACATGACCGTGTATGTGGAGAACTGACGTTCGCAGGCCATGAGAGCGCATCGATTACTGTGTCACTGTGGGAGGGGCTGACATGACCGTACAAGCGACAAACCCGAGGATTCGACGGGAAAGAATGAGACTTGCGCATGCGGCGCTGAGCGGGGGAAAGATAGTCAGGAAGGCGGCTGCCAGAAGCATGATGGTCAACAGCATCCTGTCATTGAAGCCCGTCAACAACGGATGCATGCCTGATACTTATTCGCGACACCCACGGCTAACTTCTCGCATCGTCTCAGAGGGAAAATCTCAGAGCTCGTTCAACTCTCATGAATCATCTGACTTTGCAATTGTAACTGCCGCATATCAGTGGGAGGGGCAATAGTAAACATTCAAGTGGGATCATAACCTACCGAGACTGTGCTAGTGGTACCCAACCCTGACAGGCCGCACCATGCAGGTGGGGTGGCTAGCAATTTTTGTTGCAGTTGTCAAAGAACAGAGGTCCAAAAATCCAAGTTGGACTTGAACACAGCTAGTCAATTGTAAGTTACCATGTTCCTTGATTTTATATTAAGTGATTGTGTCGCAGGCCGCATCATACGGTGCCTGATGGCGGATCAGACTGCTATCGAATCGGATTCCTACCGCACCCATCCGAGGTTTGGCCTCTTGCGATGATGCTGGTGGCTGAATATATTTCCCCAATTCCTCTAGTGCGTAGGAGTGACGCTGGATTAGACTGCACTGCCTGGCTTGGACATCGCGCACATATGCTCCACCTTGGGTCTGCCGTGCATCATCATATGATGCGTCAAGAAGAGCTGCTTGTCGTGATAGGAACGGCTTGAAGTTGCGGCGAAGGTTCGAAGGGGTGGCGTCTAGTTGATATGATCCCTTTGCGCCATTCAGGTTACTGGATGTTTCATGCTCAGGGCCCGGCTGATGCGGCCTACCCTCTCTGGCTGGCCAGAGACTTACTACCAGTGCCCGTGTGCGACCATGCGTGCACGCTTATTCACGCTCATGCTGAGAGTCTCCTGCAGCTTGCATCCAATGCTCAGTTCTGCGGCGCCTAGTCGGGCAGGCCGAAGAATCGGAGACCGCGTGCTATTTAAGTAGAGTTAATCAATCTCTCCCATGCCACCTGGTATGCAATCTCAAAATGCACCCGACAAGCGAGATCGGAGTAGTCCATTTAAAGTGCAGAAAAACGCCACGATCAGTCTCATGTCCGGACATACCTTCGCCCTCTAAACACCCTTCCCTTCTCTTCGCCCCTCCTCTTGTCCGCCATCGCCCCCTCTGGATACCACAACCCGATAGCCCACAGTGCACGCTACTACTCCGTTTGCCGGCAGGGCCGCTTAATTTCAAAATGTCGAAGGAGGGTCAGAAGAGAAATGTGGTCATCGTAGGCGGTGGGTATGCTGGTGCGCTGCTGGCCCGGTCGCTCTCTGGGAGCCTCAATCCGCACAAATACAACCTCATCCTCATAAACGAACGTCCTTTTGCGATTCACCTCCTCGCCGGCGCTCGAATGACGGTGTCTGAAGAAGGAAACTTCGAGCACCTTGCCGTCATGCCTTACGACAATCTGTTCATCAACGGGAATGGTAGGGTCGTGGTCGGGAGAGTCACGGAAATCGAAGAGACCGCTAAGGGGAAAGGCGGCTGGGTCGTTCTGCAGAGCGGTGAGCGGCTGGAATATAGCGCGCTTACTTTGTCGTGTGGGTTCTGTTGGTCAGGCCCTCTTGATTTCCCATACTCCCGTCAAGAGATGCACGAGCATATACAATACTGGCGTAGGATGTATGAACGGGCGAACCACATAGTTCTGATCGGCGGCGGTGCTGTCGGAATCGGTGAGATGGTTTCCCTTTGTTGAGACGAATGACTCACCTTTCCCTCGGGTGCCTAGAGACTGCTGGTGAACTCAGGGACGTCTATCCGGTATGTACGCTGGCAACAGTCTAACCAGTGCCAATCTCGATCGGTCATGACAGAATAAAAAAATCACGATCGTGCAAGCGGACGACATGCTGCTTAACCCGACTTACCCCACGAAATATCGAAAGGATATTGAAAAACGCGTCCGCGCTCGTAAGATCGACATGGTCTTCTCGGAGCTTACCGACTACATCCCCCAGTACGGAACAATGGGCCTCACAACTCGTAGTGGCATGTCACTTCCGACTGCAGACCTCATCGTGCCCACATTCGGACCACGTCCCAACACAAAATGGATCGCGTCGCTCGGTCCCGATGTCTTGGACGAGCGCCGACTTGTCAAGGTAGAGCCGACCTTTGAAGTCGTGAACCATCCCGGTGTCTTCGCAATTGGCGACATCACGGACTGTAACGAGCAGAAACAAGCGTTGAAGTACACCACTCATGCTACGGTCGCGGCTGCGAATATCTTGAGCTTCTTAGAAGGTCGGCCACGAACCAAGAAGTATAAAGGCAGTACGGAGATCATTTTGATCCCGATAGGCAAGGTATGTGATAGACACAGGTTGTGATCTGCAGCAGTTCAAATGTACTGGCATAACAGAGGCGAGGATCGGCATACTTCGATATACTGTGGGGGATCGTACTTGGAGATTGGTTCGTTCGCTGGCTGAAGGGAGGTGATTTGGTCGTCAATCAAACAAGAAGAGATAGAGGGCTGTGATTGAGCACATCGGCGATTTGCGTTGTATTATTGGAAGGTATTCTCTGGCAGGTACTGAACTTCAATGCTCCCTCAGCATCCTTGTACAGCTTATTAATTATTGGGAGCCTTATTCTTATCTTAAATGCTTTCGCTTTTTCTTGTATAAGTAGCTTTCTGTATGTTGTTTCTGTATGTTGTGATTTATATCAGCTTAGTTACCAAGTCTTCACGGCCGATATACCTTTGTCAGTATTTTGCAGTGGAACAAGTCGCTCACTGCAAAGTGCGTTTGGTGTGGAATCATACGTGCTCGCTATCGTCTGCGCATAGTCACCATGACAGAACCTGCAAGGAGCTGCTACGTCATCTTGAAGGGCTCTCGAAGTGCCGTATGCACTCTAAGTACTGTATGATGTCGGTCTGCATGATTATGACTATTCAGCATTCAGTTGTACATTGATGAGCCACTCGTATGGGTGTAACAACAGAGAATTGAGGGAAATGCTAGAAACACAGTATCTTCGAGATGTGCACTTGTCGTGCTGTATTACATCAGTTCATTCTATCCCCTAGAATGTGCTGCCTTCGGGGGGCTGGGGAAGCTTCCGGTTGTTGAACGATGCCATCTCCCTGTATTGACAATCACGGTGTTCAAATGTGCTATCAATTAATGGTACGAACCGCTGACAAGGCTCACGCACCTGCGAATCTCCACCAAGACTGTCTCGATACTATTGTTTCGATTCCAATGTGCCAGTACCGGTAGCTTCGATGGATCAACCTTACCATCTAATTGGCTCACAAAGGGCAAGTTGACTCGGGAGACAAACTGGACGACAGGGGGCTGTTCTGGGTAGTGATCGCCACAGGTAATCTTGAGACTATAGATTCTATTCTCGTGCACCGTCTAGGGCAACGATTGGGCATTCTCAGTAAAGCGATCGCTACGATCTTATGCGCAGACAGGAAGGTTAGCACTTACATGGCCAGGTCCGATGATGGTGCCATTCCAGTGGCTCATCATTATGTCCTCACCGTCCTCGAGACCATATGAGCATGACCCATCGCCAATGCCTTTCTCGCCCTTCTCGAGCTCCTCCAGAAGGCGGAAATTCCGCGGTACTATTAGTTTAATCAGCGTGTGCGCATGGAAAGAACATGCAGATACGTACTTTTGGCCATGATACTAAAAAGTCGCGAACCTGGAGTGGCGGGAGAATTAAGGTAGAGCCACTCAGTGGCAGCCGTTCCAATGACAACCCGATTTAGGCACGTTCGGCAAAGTAACCTCGGTGAGTCTCTGGGGGACTCCCAATCAAGGATTAGATACCATATTTGTGGAGAAGTCCAACGGGTCCGGTCCGCGGCAATGGGCTCACAACTTGGCACTGCTTCGCATTCTTACCGCAGTCGCTACTACTGTATTTATTCTCTCTTGAATTCAACCTCATCAGACACGCCTTTCAGGAGCGCTCATCATGTTTAAAGGCGGTCAGACAAATCCCTACGACGATGTCGTCGGTGAGCACTTGTTCCCGATTATCGGAAAATGACATCAGGCCCTCAACGATGTGTGTTGTAGCCAAAACTACGGATGAGAACATGACGAGCGAGAATTGGGAGCTAATTCTCAATCTATGCGACAAGGTTCAGGACGAGGGAGAGACAGGGTCGGTCACTTCGTCCCCTTTATATGTGCGTCACTGATTGTAACACAGGGCTCGAAATGTGGTCGCGGCAGTACTAAAGCGTCTTGCGCATCGCAATCCGAATGTTCAATTGTATACCTTTACGCTGGCCGAGTCACTTACTAAGAATTGCGGTGTGGAAGTGCACAGGGAAATTGCCTCCCGTGCCTTTACGCAAAGCATCGAGAAGTTGGTCACCGATCGGGTGAGATTTCGCTCCATATTCACCACTTTTGATTATTGAGACCTTGAGCAGAACACACACGAGAAAGTGCGACGTCGTGCTTTAGCCTTGGTCGCCATGTGGACTGTAGACTTCGAGAAGGACCCCACACTGGGCATTATGGAAGAATGTTATGAATCGTTAAAGGCCAAAGGTGGGAAACACTGCCATTCGTGTTCATGCGTGTCAACTGAGTTTCATCATTTGAATAGGTTACAGATTTGAGACTCCTGATGAACCTCCGCCACCAGAGGTGGACGACGAAGTCCGACGACGAGAGGAGGAAGAGCTTCAACGTGCATTAGAAATGTCGATGCACGATAAGGGTGGAAGATCTCAGTGGGAGCAGTATTCGCTGGCTTCTTCGAGCGGCGCAGGCGGCTCAGGTGCTGCGTCTAGCTCTGCTACTCAACAGGCTGCGGCCGCATCCGCTGCGAGTGCGCAGCGTCAACAGAGCATTTCGCAGCCAACCTATGGTGGATATGTCCCATCATCGAACCCCGCGGTTTCTGCCAATCCGACGCCATCTACCATGATCAGTGCAGCAAGTACAGTATCGAGTACAACCTCCCCGTCACCAAGTGTATCGACGCAGGAAACTATCCCCGTCGTTACGCGAGTAAAAGCACTTCATACATTTGAACCCACAGAAGCTGGTGAGCTTGCCTTTGAGAAAGGCGATATTATCAAGGTCGTCGATCGCGGGTACAAGGATTGGTGGCGAGGCCAATTGAAGGGCAGAACGGGTATTTTCCCTGTCAACTATGTGGTATGTTGTATTGGACACACTTGTCTGGGTTTCAACTCATTTCAGACAACAGGAACCATTGCCCGAACCTACTGCGTCTGAAATTGCGAAAGAAGCGGAGCAAGAGGCCACCGTATTCAGTCAGGCTGCAAACGTGGATCGGTTGTTGACTTTGCTCCGCGGAATGGACCCTGCTAAAGACAATCTTGCGGATAACGAGGAGATTCAGGTACCATTTTACGCCTGTCATCTGTGCTATAACCGTTTACGTTCATTTTGCAGGAACTATATAGGAATTGCATGACACTTCGTCCCAAGATTGTCAAGCTGATCGATAAATACAGCCAGAAGCGGGGTAAGTCTATGTCTTTGAGCATTGTATGACATGTCTGACATGTAATCTATAGCTGATCTTGTGTCAATGAATGAGACATTCGTCAAGGCAAGGACAATCTTTGACCGAATGATGGAGGAAAGTCTTGCCAGGCACACTGCCAGTGAGTATAGGGTTTCTGGTTCGCTATATGCGTCTAATGTCATGGTTTAGTGTACGACGGTCGCCCGCCCTATGGCCAAGTTCCGTCTCAGTCATATATTGCACGCCCAGACTCGAGGGCACGACAGGAGTATGGAGTGCCAGGCAGGCCTCAGCAGTATGGATGGAATCCCGCTGTGTATGATCAAGCGACTGCAGGTTATAACGGATACACAACTCCTCCAGCTGCTTATCCTCCTGGCCCTGAAGGAGCATATCCAGGCACCGCTCAGCCGCAACCCTACGCTGAGTCGAATCCGTATGCACAGAGACCACAGTACGCTCAGCCATCTGGTTACACCCTACCTGCAGGAGCCCCAGTTCCGTATGGTGCCCAGCCAGAAGTCCAACCATATGTTGCACAATCTACGCACCAGCCCCACCTCCAGCCTCAGTACCAGCCTCAGCCCCAGCCTCAGCCTCAGCCTCAACAGCAATTTCCGGCTCAGGCTCAGACGCAGGTTCAGGTTCAGGCTCAACAGCAACAACCTCAGGCGATGGCCCATCATCCAGAACCCCAACCTCAGCCCCAGCCTCAGGTTCAGTCACAACCTCATGCGCAGCCTCAGCTACAACCACAACCTCAGTCACAACCTCAGCCCCAGCCCCAGCAGCAAACTCAAATGAGCGGACCACCATTTGTATTTGATCCCAATGCGGCGTATCCGGACCCAAATGCACAGGCGTGGGCTCAGTACTACGCACAGGGCGGAACGGACCCCACTGGCTCGGTCTACTTCATCTCGGTGCCCGGTATAAAGGAAGGTCCACCGGAACCAGCGGCTCACAGCAACTCGCCAGATCAGGCTCAGAGAAGCCCTCAACAAGGACCCCTTCAAGGTCAGATGCAGACACAAGTTCAACCCCAGGCTGGGGGATACCAGCCGCAGGGTGTTCAGGTTCAAGCCCAACCCTCGTCTTCTCCATACCAGTCGTATCCGGCGGCGGCGGCGCAAATGCCACAGTTGTCAAATCCTGACCTGAGTGTTCACCCGTTCCAGGACGGTATGGGCTCTGCGTCCGCATCGGAGGTGCATCTCCCGCAGCAGAGTGCTCCAGCCCCGTCCAGCCCGACTGCAAGCGCGCATTCGCACTCGCACTCGCAGCAGCAGCAGCAGCCTGGTTATGGTCCGTCGCCGTATGCTGCCCCGGGGTATGCCGCCTCTGCCGGTGCTCCGCGGGGTACATCGCCGCCCGCTGGCGCGGACCCAAGTGCGGCCACTCAACAGGGCGCATGGCCGATGCAGTACCACGAGATCCAGACGCAATTTGCGGGCATGGAGCTCTCTGGGGAGGGCGCGCAAAGTGCGCATGCAAGCTCGCAGGGTGTCGGCGCACCGGCTTGAGAACACTCTTTTCCTTGTAGGATCGATGTGTAGGATTGATGTGAAAAGGGAGAGGGCGGGAACTATACCATTATCTATGACAGTGTCACAGTGTGTACCGTGCGTCGAGAATGTGTGGTGCGTGGCGGACTGTACGCAGACGTATGCACCAGGCCTGTCCTGTGGCTCCGCAGATGTATTTATTGACGCTTTGACTGAATATGACATGCTGAGACTCGTATTCCGAGTCTATATCCTCTCGGGTTCAGCTGGTGGGAAGGAGGGTGCACCAAACACTGTTGGGATGGGGTGTCTGGTGGTACTACTGATGTGCTGTTTTTTCTTTGCAAATTTTTACTGTGGGTATCATCATCCACAACTCTAGCGGCACATGTAGAAATGTGTCTCAAAACAGATGAGATGGCGAGACTGCAGAGGCAGAACTTGTCTGCGCCAATGCGTGACGTAGCCCGTTTTAGGCAGTTCTCCTTCCGAGTTTGGTATTTTCCTTGACCTGTGATTGATAGACTCACGGGGGGAACTGTGAATATGGCCTTGTATAAGTTATACATCCTCGTCCTATTCCCTTGTCGCTCCGCGAAAAGTCGAGAAGAACAGTCAACTCGAAGAACACAAAAAGTCAGATGAGTAAAGGTTGATATACAGTTCCATTATATGCCGAAAGTAGCTAAAAACATTTCTAGAGGGCCCCTGATAGGCACCAGGCAGCAGTTTCGGGAAAGCGTGAGTGTCCCTCTCATAAGGATCATGCAAAGCAAACCATCGAATTTGCATACCTCATAACAAATAATGCATAAATTCCACGCCGTGTCCTCTGCGGTACGGGCGGCGCAAGCCGTCATGCCTCCTTCGTCTCCCTCCCGAGCTCCGCAAGCCCTTCGTCGTCCGCCCAGAACAGCTCCGCGTCGCCCTGTTCATCAGCAGCCGTCGTCCCGTCACCTTCGTCCGCCTCCGTGCTCGCGACGTCCGCGACGCCGAGGCTCTTGAGGTACTGCACCTTCACGACCGTCTCAACGTGCTCTGCCTCCTGCTCCTCCACCGTCCCGCGCCACAGCAGTCGCTCCAGTACGTGCCGGACGAGGACGCGCGCGACGATGTACCCGTGCGATGCCGCGAACGCGACCAGCAGCGCGGTGAGCAGCAATTGTCGCGTCGATGCCTCGCCCCCACGGAGCGCGACGTGCTTGCGCTCGAGCGACGTGCCCACCGCCTTGCAGTGGTCGCTCGGGCGGAACAGGTACACCAGGGCCGAGTTCGTCAGCGCTGCGAGCCACGACAGGAACGACAGCGAGTCCAACCACGGTCCGATCGTGTCCGTGCGCGCGGGGATGGGCCGTCGGACGTGCCGCGCGATCTTGAACGCATCCGAGCGCAACTCGAACCAGTTGTTCGTCAGTGCCATCACTGCCGCATGGGGTCAGCCCGGGGAGCAACAGAGGCGCAGGCAGCACTCACGGGGCGCAAGCGGCCAGATCGTCGACCACAGCGCGACGTGGCCGAACTGCGTGACCATCTCGCTGTAGTCCTCGAACAGCTCGTAGTCTGGCAGCGCAACCTGCTGCCAGACGTCTTCCATGAACGCCTTGTCCTTCCCGTCCGCTTTCTTCGGCGCGTCGGCCTCCCCCGCCTCGTCCTCGAACATCACCCGCTTCTTCTCCTTCCCTCCTGCCGGCGCAGAGCTATGCGAGAGCCCGAGGCCCTTGCCCCGGCGGATCGACGACACGGCGCGAAGCACATACGGCAGGCCAATCTCGATAAATGCATTCACGACCTGGTTCGTCACCGTCGACGCGAACATCTGATCCTGCAGCCGCGTCGGACTTAGCTTCGTCCGTGCGCTCGTCACGTCCATCTCCCACAGGCCCTTCCCGAACACGCGCCGCGCACCACTCGCACTGGCAGACGCAGACGCGATGGCCGCCTTGGCCCGTGCGGTCGCGCCCGCGGGGAGAGCGGAGCAGATGGAAGATGTGAGCGCGACACCTGCGGCCGTGTGGTCACGCTCGATGAACGTCTGCACGAATGTCATCACCTCCTCGCCGAACGGGACGTACACGAACGCAGACAGTGCTAGACCAAGGTACTCCACGATCGCGGAGAGAGAGAACGTTTTGAGTGTCAGGGATCCGTCGTGCGTTGACTGGTGCGCGTGGTCCTCCCAGTCGGTGAATGCGACGGCGTACGAGTGGTAGATTTTGAGGAAGCGCGGAACGACCACGGACACGATGATCGTTGGCGCGAAGGACTGTAAAATGCCATTTAGCAATTGACAGGGGTACGAGAAGGGGCACATACGAGAAAGCGGTGCCCTGGGCCCGTGTACAATTCGGTCACGAATGCCTCGAACAGGAACATGCTTGTGAGGAGAGCTGCGAGCACTGTCGCGAACAGCAATATGACGGGGAGGCCGGTGATCATGCGGAGATCTTTCTGCCACCACGCAATGGGCACATATTGTGCGCGGCGCTTCTCTACGCGGAAGGAGCCTCGTGTGCCCCACCTCACCGAAAGGATCCGTTGGCGAATGCGCCACGACTCGACAAAGGCGATCGACCAGAGGAGGAGAACGGATGAGTAGATGGACGAGTATGGTTCGTGGAAGAAAAAAAAGTACACGCCCACGGCAGAGATGGCTATGAGGTATTTTGTATAGTAGGATAGAAAGGCAAAGTAGAGGGCGATGGCCTCTCCGAACTAAGAGGCAGATGAGGGGCACGCCAGAGCACAGGGGCGGGGTGCACGCACCTGGTATCTAATCTTGTCAAACTTGACGAAGCCTAGTTCCCGCTGCGTCCAGGAGCGAATCCATTCATCGTTGAACGCGTGGTCGTGAAGCATCATGATCGACTCGACGCGGTCCCAGTCCGTGCTGCCTGGTGCGATTCCGAGCCCACCATCAGAGACGGTCGAGGTCACGTACGTGTGGACGAGGCGAAGGTGGTCTGCCGGCGACAGTGGTGTGGCGTCGAGGTCGAGCGACGCAGTGGGGTCGGCGGTGGGCAGGCCAGAGACAAAGTCGGAGTGTCTGATGAGCGTTTGAGCGAGCACACCAGCGGAAACGAGAGCGCTCACCGTTCTCGCTGGGCCAGGCGGGAGAGGGTGCTCTGGGGACAGGAGACGAGGACGAGGAGCTGGCCGTCGTTCTCCCCCGACTTTCCGACTGCGCGGAGGCCGCCCTTGGACAGGGCCCCAAGGAGCTTGGAGTACTGGCGTTCGGCCTGCCGCGCGTTTTCGCGGGCCTGGGGGCGGGAGAGGACCTTGCCGGGCGACGAGCGAAAGATGAGGACGAGGTCGACCTGGGGGGGCATTGTGGACGGAGGAGAGGGGAGTAGAGACTGGCCAGAACACCCCTAGCGGATGGCGACGGCTCTGTGGCTTGCCCTGCTCTCGCCGCTGGACTTGCACTCTGGACGGGGGCTGGAGGCAGGCGTCAGCGTCGTCGTCGTTGTCGTCGTCGTCGGGCACGTCGTCGTGGAGCGTTGAAAGAGGAGAGGGCCGAAAATAGGCCTGCGCGTTGTCTTCGCGAGCGGTTGTCTGCCGAGTGCTGATGCGGGCCTGCTGTCTCCTGGGACCAAAATACGACAAATTCGCACTTGCAGGTCGAGGCGGGGCAGCTCGTCGTCGTCGTCGTCGTCGTTGTCGTCGTTGTCGTCGCTGTCGGCACCCATCTTTGACAATTTCAAGCTCGCAGCCAGCGCATGCGCAGCGGCTTGACTTTACTGCAATCTCCGAGTCGATCGCGGGCGGGACCAGATAACAAGTGCGGCTCCGAACATTCCCCCACGGCAGAATCGAGACAAGTACTTTTCATAAGTATCGTACTCTGGAAACTAGACAAACGGCCAATAGATATCACAATTACTACTTGTTCTTTTGAATCCAATGTGACAGACAGCACAAATATGCACGACAACATGACAGGCAGCATCGTGGGCGTGCCGGGTATATATAACCAAATACACAAGCTTGCAGGGCCCCTGCGCACGGGCACCCCGCTATCATTAGTCTGATTATAACGCAAAAAAGAGCGACACTTCTCTACAAGCTTTAAAAACGGCTTCAATATCCACGCAAACGAATGGTGCAGAACAGTCCTACCGAACCGTCCGACGGCGCCAACAGCGTCCACACTCACCCCTCTCAACTCTCCGGCAGATCTGACAGCGACATGCTCTCCGACAGCAGCCCCGTCTCGCTGATGTGCAGGGTCCCGCCCGCACGCGCGCTGCGCTCCAGCAGCGCCTCCCACTTGTCCACTTTCTCCTGCTCCGACCACGCCTGCCGCGGCGACTCCAGCTCCCGGAACGTCAGCGGCGACCGGTGCTGCGACGACGACGCCGAGGAGGGCGACGTTGACGTTGACGACGGCGACAGCGGTGTTGCCGCATTATAGCTCAACGTGCTCATCGACGCGCGCGCCGGTGCGTCCGACGGCGCCTTCGTCTGCGCGCGTGGTGTCCGCGGCGTCAGCGGCGAGCGCGTAGCTAGCGAGGATGACACTGACGGCGCGGGCAGCTCGATGCTCGCGGGCTTACGCCGCGAGCTCCGCCTGGGGCGCGTTGGGATGGCACCAAATTCCGGCAGAGGCAACGACGGCGCTGAGAAATTGTTCACGGCGCCCGCCGTGGTGAACGATGGCAGAGGCGGCGACGCGGGTCTATCGTGTGCGCCCGCCTCGCGCGGGCTCAGTCCAGGTCTCCGGGGCGGGCAGGGCAAGGATGGCAGGCTCTCGTCTGCAGAGCTGGGCGAGCGGCGGTGGTCAGTCGGCTCGGACATCGAACGCATCGGCTTGTGAGGCTTCCGGGGCGCGGTCGTTGTGATATCCTCTTTTGTGCGATTCGACTCCAGTCGGTACAGCTCGCTAGGCGGCATGATGTGCTGTGCAACGGCCGCTTTGTGTGGGGAGGGCACGGGAGGTATCTCCTCCCCATAAGACGAAGATGAAGACCGCGTGGATTGAGTACGGTGGAAGAAACCAGAAGAAGCCATGTCCGACGAGAGCGGTGACGAGGATCTGGTAGTCGTGCTAGGCCGATGAGTCGGCGGACTTGAAGACGCTTTGCCTGTAGAAGGTCGTGAGGTGGTCGTGTGTCGCGGTGATATTTTCTGTGATGATCCCGTTGGGAGACGTGCTCCGGACACAGAGGGATGCGACTGCGTGGGACTCACATTATTGCTCCCAAAGCCCTCGCGCCCACCCATCTCATGCATTTCAAATGTGGTACGCGACCCCGCCAACTTTTGAAGATCCACTGGCAGAGGTGGCACGGGGGGAGCTGACTCGCGGTTGTGCTTGTATTTGTCCCGTAGCCCCCCAGTGCTGATTCGCTTGACAAGCCTCCAGAGTTTCCCACCCACTTGCGCCTCCTCATCACGATCAGCAGTTTTACTCTTCCCAGCCTTGCCCAAGCGAGGACTGCGCTCATCCATAACACCCACCGACCTCTCCCGTTCGTGTGTGCTGCCCCTTGCAGTGGAAGCAGAGTTGGAGGTTTGGGTGGACACTTCTAATCGTTCGTCCAACGACATGCGGGGAGTAGGAATCGATGATAATCGCCCATCATAGGGCCGCCAATTATCGTCTTTCGTCACTGGAGAAATATCCTTTTCCTTCTTAACGGCGTCGGATACTTTCCTAAACCTACCCGACATCTTCCGCGACAAACTTCTGCGAGGCTTTCTGGGCTGTTCCTCATTCATGAAATAGTTATCCAACTGAGTGTAGTCCTGTGCACTCCCCGCAGCAACTACATGCCCCGAACTGCTCCCAAAGACCGTGTAGTAGGGACCTGTAGTCTCCTCTTCGTCTTCCGCGGGAGAAGGCATCGAATCAACGTCAGCGCCACGACGGCCACTAGATGGCACGGGTGTGCCCTGTCGAGGCCGCTCAGTCCAGCCTGACAATTCAGCCAGCTCCTCCCGACGCAGCTCCTGTTGTTTGTAGGCCAGTGCTACTTGCCCAGCGGGCGTGAGGCTCGTGCGCGTCGCCAGATCCCCCTTTCGACCAGTAGCAACACTGAGTGAACTTGGACTTGGTGGAGGTTGTGATGCGTTTACCTGTAATGCGTCAACAGAACGCATACGGCGGACGTGACCAGACCCTGCGCCTGCATCGTCTGCAGTCGCGGGACGACCCGGTCGCCTGAGCACGTTGCGCTGACGAGTCTGAGTGTCTTGGGCGGTACGATGACTGGGGGAAGAGGAGAATGTATTCTTAGAGCTAACGTTCAAGCTAGGCGATGCAACATGCAGCATCGGCCTATCATGCGACTCCCCTCGAGAGCTTGAGGACGGCTGAGAAGAATATGTCGGGTGACTGCGCGACGACACCGAGACCTCCGAGTCTGATGGAAGGGAAATAGCTGAAGAGGCCGACGGATGGTGAATGAGAGGCTTGCTGAGTAGCCGCTTGAGATCAAGATGGGCGCCTGCGTCACGATCCGTGCTGTTCCCTGACGATTTGCGCGACTCAGGCGCCGTTCTGTGCGGTGCGCGTGCCATGTGGGTCGGCGAGGCCGTAAACGGACCGGAGTGCAGTAACGGCCCCGGCGAGAAATCGTGGCCCAGATCCAGTGAGCCTGAGTCCTGTACAAAGACTGCACTAAGTGGCGAATTCGTTGGTTGAGAGGCACTGAATTGGCGAAGCGGACTAGGACCGGCCACGGGTGACAGTTGCGGTGGATTTGTGCGGTTGTGGATGCTCGGAAAATCGAAAGTGTGCGAGCGAATGGTCGACGACTTGACGTTCGGTGATGAAGCGGACATCGTGTGAAACGTATTGTGCCTAGTGGGCTTGTCAGAATGTTTGCGGGGCCCCGAAAGCGGAGAACGTAGATTTTGTGGGGACGGATCGACAGGTACAGCGGCGTGCTGCAGGGAATTCTGTTGGTGCGACATGGATGAAGGCGTTATAACTGACTACAGGGCTGGTGAGAAGACAAAACAAAGCAGCACACGAGCACTCACATTCTTCGCAGGTTCAATGGACGGGGCGTGAGCGGGAAGCAGGAAAATGGCTGAGAGCGCTAACAAAGCCTGTGTGGCCGACGCGTAGTAAGCAATGCACGTTGAAAGGGCATACCCTGAGACCTTTGTGGCCACTCACATTCTTTCAAAATAGCGACGGGATTCCAACGAGTTACAGCAAGGCTTCAGCCGGGTAGATAGAGCGAAACGTGTGTAAAATGTCGTCAAAAATCGGCACGTGTAGGAGCGACCGGGGGTAGGAAAAGAGAATTGTAATTGCGTCGAGCGAGTGAAGAGTACTATTCCCGTAGAAAAGCGTCCTCAAGACAGCAGGCAGGGGAGTAGAGACAGACTGAAAAGAGAGTGGTTGCAATGAGCGGCGGTCGATGGAGCAGTCGAAAGAGAACGAAAATGAGCAATTTGGGGGCTATCAGCACGCATATTTCAATTAGCCCTGGGATTATTTGCGACATGTCAGGCTATCGTGCTGAAATTTAAAAAGGATTACCCAATGGCTGCACGTGATGTCCCCTGCGTATTCACAATTAAAATTACCCATTTTGTTTACGCTTGTCCTGACTAGTGGCAGAGTAGCATACTGGAACAGCTGGGGCTGCATGATGCTGTTGTTACTGTCTTCATGGAAAATCTGAGCCCTCCACGGTTGTGCTAAATGGGGCAATTTCGCGATCATGTGACTGGCGCGCGACGGTTCGGTTCTCGCGCGCTCCTTGTTCAAAACCCATTGAATTCGCTTACCATGTCTCGGCTCCCACGACTACACCCTTCAAGCTCGCCCGACCGACACCAGTCAGGTCCCTCTATGTCGTTCTCGACGAGGCAAGGCTCCCTCAAACGAAAGGCGCAGGATGAAAACTTCAATATTGCAGAGCAGCAGCCCCGCAAACTTGCCGCGATTGCAGAGGCAGATACAAACCAACCGCTCCGTCCATCCAAAGCAGCCATATCGAAACTAGGAAAGGGCCCACCGCCGTTAACTAAGCCTAGAGCACCCCCTCTGACGACCAGGCGAACCGACCGGGCGACCAGTGCCCCACCAAGACCTGTGGCTGCCGTACGACCACCTGCGCGTCCTACCGCTGTGAAACCTACTCGAGGAACATCGACTACCGTCGACGGTAAACGATTTCAGGCACTAGAAGAACAGATATCTTCCATCGCCGCCGCCCGTGAGGCTGATACAGCTCGTCTGGCAGCGGATGCCTCGCGCCTTGCTGCAGACATGGAGGCGGAGCGATCCAAGGTCGCAGAGCTCCAAGCCAACCAGCGAGCCATGTCTCAGCAGCTTACCGCCGCAAAGAATCAGGACATTGCTCGGCAGAGAGAACTAGATCACGCTAGCGAGGAGATCTACGAGCTGCAAAAGCGACATTCACGACAGCTCGAAGAAAAGGAGACAGAGCTGCGCAGGAAAGACCGTGAGGTGAGAGAGCTCAAGGAAGAGCTCAGAGCCTTCCAGGACGATCTTGAACGTGAGCGCGAGACCGTCAAAAGCCTCAAGGCTACCATTTCGCACCAGTCCACGGCGCACGTCGCACTTTCTACACAAGTTTCCGCAATGCAAGCACAACAGGCAGCTATGCAGGCGCAATCCGATGTCGCGTTGCGAGATAAGCTCGATATCACGCTTGAGCTCGAAGCGGAGCGTAAGAGGCGAGTCGAATTGGAGCAAGAATTGCGCGAGGCAGAGACTTTGCGACGGAAACTGCACAATCAAGTGCAGGAACTGAAGGGCAATATTCGAGTTTTCTGTCGAGTACGTCCTCTGTTGTCGTCAGATATGCCCCTTGCGACTCCTATGCTATCACCGTCATCCACTGGGAGCGGCATAACGACGCCGACGGATAGTCCTGATCCAGAGGAGGAGATCAAACGCAGAGAGGAGTATCGGGCGCAGATGGGATTCCCAGACAAAATGGATCACAAGGAAATCGTGCTCCGATCGTCAAGCGAGAGCGCAACCGGCCAGGAGCGAAAAGACGAATGGGCATTTACGTTCGACCGGGTGAGTGGGTGGAAACGCTATGGAATGCGGTTGGCTGACTGCAAGTAGGTGTTTGAGCCACACTCAACTCAGGCAGAAGTGTTTGAAGAAATTTCGCAGCTTGCACAAAGTTGTACTGATGGCTACAACGTATGTGTCTTCGCGTATGGCCAGACGGGCTCTGGAAAGTCATTCACCATGGAAGGAGGTCAGGTAAGCCTACATCTTCTCTCCTCTAGCCAACAAATTTTACAAAGAATCTCAGTCTGAAGCGACTACGGGAATGATACCTCGGGCCGTTGAACAAGTTTTCCGAGTTGCTGAGGAACTCAAAAGCAAGGGCTGGGAATACAAAATGGAGGGCCAATTCCTCGAGATTGTGAGTGGTTTTCTCCTATTGGCAACCACCCTGGCTCTAATGCATTCCAGTACAATGAAACAATCAACGACCTGCTGGGTAAAGGCGAGTTCGACAAGAAGAAGCACGAAATCAAACACGATTCCAAGACCGGGAGAACGACGGTCACGGACGTGAATGTGCTCCCGCTCGCCTCTGCGACCCAAGTGCGCACATTGCTGTCGCTCGCGCAATCACGACGCACCGTGGCAGCGACGCTCATGAATGAGCGTTCGTCACGATCACATTCGGTGTTCACGTTGCGCATCCGGGGCGAGAATCCGCTGACAGGGGAAGCGTGTGAGGGCAGTTTGAACCTCGTCGATCTGGCGGGTAGCGAGCGACTGGAGAAGAGCGGTGCCGCGGGAGACAAGGACCGTCTCAAGGAAACGCAGAGCATCAATAAAAGCTTGAGCGCTCTCGGTGATGTTATTGCTGCCCTGGGCGAGAAGGGAGAAGGCAAGAGCGATAAGCATATTCCGTACCGGAACTCGAAGGTATGTGGACTAGGTACAATTCGCTGACCGACCAATGTGACATGGATCGTGCAGCTTACATACCTGCTGCAAAATTCCTTGAGTGGCAACTCGAAGACACTGGTGCGATCGACTTGGCCTTTCGACGTTCATATGACTTATCTTTAACGCAGATGGTTCTGAACCTCTCACCCCTCGCTGGCCACCTAAATGAGTCACTCTGCTCCCTGCGATTTGCAACAAAGGTCAACCAGATGTGATCTTGTTTCTGCATGATTTGGTGCTGATCTTTCACGCAGGTCAATAATACTACAATTGGAACCGCGAAGAAGCAGAGCCGTATGGCTGGATCGTCGTGATTCCATTTTTATTCGTATTCTGGTCTCGCTCATCCCGTCTTCTCCGGACATTGTAGTTACAGAGCGTTGTAGTTATTGTACCAAGATGTTAAATTATAAAATGCATGATATCATCGTCTCTGAGTAAGGTATGCAATGCGTGATGTTCCCATCCGTATCGTGCGTGATATGAGGTTGCGAGACGGCATTCTGTCAAAATCCCGTCCATATTACGATGAACCAACGCGTAGTTGGCTCGCTCTATGCTTGTCTTGCCTTGCTTCTTTCTTGACGTCACTTGCCCACTTGAAAAAATTACAGCGATATTGATGATTGACTTCATCCCTAGGACGTTCCCCTTTTCCCTTGTCATATCCAGGACCGACGGGACTATGAGACGCATTAATGCAGAACCCGCCGAACGAGCAGCATATAAGAGACATACCGCGAGCAAATGTAGAACTTTTTCCCTTTGTTAGGTCCTTGCTTGTTCACTGTGTATAATTTGGCGGGTTCGCCATGCGTTACGCATCTGGGGGGCTGCAATGGCGCAAAAAGGTCCGACCACGCGTTTTTGCTGGTATTTTGTGATGTCGAGGCGTTAGGCTGGGATGCTTCACTCTGAGTGATCAAATCTACTTGAGTCGCAGAGAGCTCACAAGCAAGGCGATAATCGGCATCAAGCTGGTGATCGCTAGAAGGAAAAGTACTGGGTGGTGAACACGAAGGAACCGCGTCAGGAAATGAATCCGCTTCATCAAGCACGATGACCTCCTTCGGTTGGGATTTGGAGATAGTCGGTTTCGAGAAGAAAGAGGCGATCTTCGACTGACCGGCTTCGGCTTTTCTCTTCTTCGTAGAACCACTCGTGAAAGATTTTTCAGATGGTTTGCGTTTTAAAGGCGCAGAGGCTATTAGTCGCAGCGGTTTAGAGTTTCGGATAGTTTCAGTAGAGGCATTTGAGTTCGAGGTAGATATGGACATCCCTTCATCCGTGAGAGGTACGCTACTAGATGAGAATTGGGGCGACCGCGGAAGGGGTACTGAGAAGTTTGCCGTGGTCTCATCGAAAGTTTGCAGTTGAGAGCTATTTCGCTTTCCAAAAAACGTAGATAGCATAGTTTGCTTTCCAGAGAACTCTTCCCAGAACTTGGCAGACAGCCGCGGTGCCTGCATGCCTTCCTTCTGCTTCATAGCGTCCGATAGTTTGATTAACTCTCCTGATTCGAGAGTAATCTCATCGTGCAGGTCAACAAATATGGGGCAGTGGTCGGAACCTTTAAGGGAAGCCTGAATATCTCCATGCTTAATCCATGGAAGCAGTCCGCGCGTTATGAGAACATAATCAATGCGAGCGCCATAATTAGTCTCTCTGGCTTGAAGCTTCATATTCCAGCCTGGATGTCCATCAATATATGATACTCGAAATAATTAGAGGAAATTACATGTGAAGAGGCCTTTTCTGTCGGGCCAGAAACTGCGTATGACATCAATCATGGGTCCATTTGGATTGAGCCACTGCCGAAACCACTGCCGGGCAGGATGGTCCCAAAAGGTGGCGACATTGCTAGGAAGATGACCATCGCCATGGTCGAGTGGGGCAGCGGCGATATTTATATCACCAAGTACGATGACTTCGCGGTGTTCCTCTTCAATGAGCTTCCTAACGCGCTCCTGTAGCAGAAGGTGGAAGTTCATCTTGAAGGGCAACCGTGCATCAGATGTTTCAGCGGGGCAATAAACGTTGATGAGGACGAACAAGCCAAAGTCTAACACCAGAGTACGCCCTTCAAAGTCAAGAGCATCAAAACATGAACTTGTTTCGTCTGCCTCGTCAGGAAATGCGTCGATATGATGTGCGCGTGGATAAGCTGTAGATATGCGCTCTTCTTCAGACAAAGGTGGTTTCGGTTGCAGTGTCCCTAGCAGCCCCTCTTCCGCTTTCAAGGGCACTACATTTCTCGAGTTGGTATACACTGCCACTCCACTATAGCCTCCCTTATTCACCGGAAACGAGAAGAAAGCATGATAAGGACCTGGCACAGCAACGTCACGCTGTAACATAGAGCGCGACGTCTTCATCTCTACAAAACACACTGAGATTAAACTGGACATCGACTATGTTTTGTGCAATGCACACCTTGAAAACATATAATATCCGCATCTAGAGCATCGAGTATGCCCTCACAAGATTGGAAGGTATTCCAGCTATGCCTTGTTGGTCTTTGAATCTATTGGTAGGAATACCAGACTTACGGATGATATTTAGGTAGTGTCCGTATTCCATTCTATCGAACAGACATGAAAGACCAGGCGCGCAAACTGAATTTAAAGAAGAAGGCGCACTATATTCCAGGATAAAATGCGCATTTCACAGCCTCAGAAGACATTCGAGAAAAGAGCCAAGAATAAAACTGATATCGCAACTCCAAGAAGTTCACAGTGGGTCCACCCAAACCAGACTTAGAGTAGTAGCAATATCGGAAACAGCGCTTCAACGCAAACCTGGAGGATGCGTATTACGTAACCCATTTCAGCGTAGACGAGCGGCTATTAAATTTAGGATACAAGTCTTGGACAAGATCTGTTGCTATAGTCTACTCTATACTGGATCATGGGTCGCCTTCGTCGTTCGCGTACACATCATGCAAAACGGGATGTTCATCGGGGCGCACGCACACGAGTATGACTACCGGAATCGAAAACTGTGTTCGCTTCTGATATTTTCTCTACAGGCCCGTGCAAAAGACTTAGACCAGATTCAACTTATCGATTTGGATCCCAAAGTAATTTTATTTGAATGCATCTCCGACTTGCGTTTTTGACCTTTAGTTAGAACCGCGCCGCCCTCGAAGCGCAACCGTTTGACTTTGACAAGCCAGGGTTGGCCCAGCATTACTGTGTTGAATGCGCAAAGTGAGGGTCGCGTTTGACGGTCCTGTTTACGAGTAGCTCATGCATTATGATCAGATATTTTGAGAGCGACATTGCATTGCAGTCGCATTGGAGGAGTAAGGTGCACAAACGACGGTGTAAAGCCCTCCGAGAACCAGCATACACCATTGAAGAATCAGAACGTGCTGCAGGTCTTGGAAGGGAAAACAAGCGAACGACCACAAGTGTATCATCAGCTACAACAGCACCCATGCAGGAAGATATTGCTTCATGAGTGGTCATGATGGTTATTGTACGTCTTTTCGACCATAATTTATCCCAGTGTATCGTGTCTACGTATTTTCGAAGTCATGCCATTAGAGTGGTCTCAGTGGAAACTCCGGACAATGTTGTTTGATATCTGTCTCGATCGACCAAGGGACGCTCCACTCACTCCTTCAACCGCATCTCGACAAGGGGTCGAGATGATACATTAGTTCTTTCTAATCTTCAGGGACAATCTCTAATGACAATGACATAAATAGCTGTATAGCGCGGTGCCGCCTGTAGCTCATCGATCCCTGTGACTCACAAATCTCCATCCTCCCAAGCTTTCAAGACCATATCCATCATATGGTTCAACCCTTCCCACTGCGCTAGGATGGGATCAATCCCGTAACCTCGTGCATACAGTTTTCGCAGCGCGTTTGACACCCAGTTTCGGCATCCCCAGTCCGGGTTGTTGGTGTGGATCTGCACTTCCCGAAACAGCTGCTCGATACCCGGTAGAGATGACTTTGCGACGGTTCCCACTTTCACCATCCCCCTCCAGTTTCCCGTCGTGGTAAAGTGTCGGTCGACCAACTTCTCGAATTTGTAGTCGGCTCTAGAGCCTTTGATGTGATAGATGTTCCCTCTAGGCCGCTGGTCTGCTTCGCTCGTTTGGATACAGATTTCCCAGTGCATGGTTAGAGTCTTCCGGTTGGCGTCGACACCGCGGGAGTATTGTGCAACATAGACGACCAGGTCACTGTCCATCGTAAGTGAGGAAGTATCGAGAAGAGTAGCTATTACTGAAAGAATGGGGACGTTGTGCGCACGCAGGAAAGGGATCTATGATGCAAACGAACGGTTCTCAGGCGCTTTTTATACAAACCGTGAACGGCTATTTTGCTCCTGCATAGCTTATCCACATCCACACAGGACAAAAAGAACTGTGGCCGTGCAGCACACCTGTAGGCTTCAAGCGGCCTCTCAAACAATGCGCAATCCACGGTCTTACCACTAAGTCCACGCTTCCAGACCGCGTAAGGCAAGTGGTTGACCAAAGTAATAAGAACAACTGGTCTATGCACTCCGTTGCATAGTACTGTGGGTCTCGTCGCTAACAACGTGAGTCTGATTTAATGATGTGTTGTAGCCAGAGAATAAATACAGTATACGAGGATAATGCAGATACATGGTACAGATGTGTGGGGGATAAAATGGCCAGCATTACAGGAACAAATGAGACGAAAAATCATTGTCGATGGCGTTACATGCGGAAGAAGGGACGGACTCAGTCAGAATCCTCGCCAGAATCCCATAGGCGTTTCGCTTCCGCCATGTCTTCAGTGAGTTTCGCAAAGGAAACCGGCGCTTTGATGTTGTAGCCTCTGGCTTCAAGCCTTCTCAATGCGGTGTAGACCCAGTTTTGACAGTTCCAGTTCGGGTCATTTGCAACGATTGGCGTTTCCTCCACGACTTGACGCGCTGCCGGAATTCGGTTTGCCGCAATGGTGCCGACAAAGTGGCATCCGGTCCATGCTTGAGGCTTACTGTAAAACGTATTCTCGATAATTTCGACTCGCCATCCATGCCAGCTACCCTTGAGATGCCAAACCGGGCCTTGGGACCTTCCTGTTTCCTTTGAATATCTAATGCAGATTTCCCAGTGAGGTGGGAGATCCCCACCACGTTCAAATCGGCCAACATAAACGCGGTATTCGGTAGCCATACTCTGTAATAGGATGAATCAGATTCTGGTTGGTTGGGTGAGCATTCAAGTTGATATGAACTCACGTAAAACTGGAGCTGAGGATGCGGTAGTGGGATAGGACGACAGATGGATGCGATGTTGCTGAGAAGGTAGACACATAATTCCTGCGCTTTATACTAAAATCCAACAACCTGCAGTGGCCGTGGCTACTCTTGAGCTCCTCAACGGCGAGGAATTTTCGACCCTGATTTTTCGCGCGGCATTGCTGATCAGAGGATACCCTCTGGCCACCTTTGTGGCAATTCGTGTCGGCTAACGAATTGCTTGAGACACACTTCGGCTACTTTCAACTCAGACAGATGTGGTTGCGTTGTGAAGCACATTCCATGCCACAAATTGCTTTGCACAATTTGTGTTCCTGATACGTTCAACTTTTGAAGCCGATTGCGTGGAACGGCAATAAATATTGACTCTTTTGTTTGAACCTCTGTATATTTCTCTTCATCTCAGGACGTAAGTTCCTATGTCTGCACTTCTGGTGTTTTGCGACGCGAATTACCTTGTTCCCGAACAGGCATCTGGTGTGGGGAATCAGATCATACCTGTCGATCCCATCACGGAACACCCCGCGCCACAAAGCCAATGGGTGCGGGGCCTAGACTCGGCGTTAGCGGTGTAAGCGTTTCCTCCATCGCTTTGGCCTGGAGAAGAGTCCTTGCAATACCTCTCCAATTTTGCGGCGCAGTCCTCTTACAATCATGAGAGCGCGTAGCATTTCACTTTGGCGAAAAAATCACCGTTGGTTCATTGATATTCATCACATTTGCGAATTTACGAGCTAAGGAATTTATCCAGACTCGCCATTCGCAAGAACCATAATAACACACTTAGGTTGACTCAACCCTTGTTGTGCGAGTCGCAAAATCATGCATGGCCACTTCAGTCTCAAATGACCCTGGCAAGTCGGACTTTTCACCGCTCAGGGACAGAAAATTTCAGAGCCACTTTGCGGCTACCATCACGGCATTCAGGATCGGGGGTGTCGCCGTGCATTGTCTGCGGCATTGATGCTAAGTACCACAGCGTGCGGCTCTCATGTGCGCAATAAGCGATGGGAAATGTGTAGCCCCCAAAACAAGGCGGAACCCAGATGGAGCGTCTGAATTAACACCGTCGGCGATGTATGTGGCCTACAGCGAGCCGAGTGTAGACAACAGTCCCTTCCACACAAACGCTCGGGCATTCCCACTCGCCTCGCAGTACTTCGTCATGAATAGCTCGTCGTTTGGCGCTATGGGCAAGAAACGTCACATCTTTGCCGCGCTCACGACTACATAGCACTCACCTGCCACTAGCTCCCCGTTCTGTCGCACTTCGCCTGAATGCAATGCGTTGTCGGACATCCACACGTCGAACAGCGCCGCCGCCTCGTTGATACTGAGCTGCGCCGGCACGGGAAAGTTACGCAGGCCTTGTGCATAGCTGACCATATCAGGCGAGCGCGGTGTATATGGACTCGTTGGGCGCGATGGAGGAAGTCCAAGGGCCTCACACATCTCGAGGGGCATCAAGAAGCTGGTATGGGCAGTGGATGCCGCACCGAAAAATGCGCCCCGAGGCTGATGAGAAATGACTATCAGTAAATTGACTTCACTGATATAAAGCTCAAACGCACGAAAGACTTCTTGCCACTGGCATACTCGAGAAGTAAACGAGGGATGGAGAGATGTTGCGCCATGAGGGTGCGATAATGAGGATCCCGGTACGAGCTGTACCCGTAAAGGGCCTGGGCATCGTCGACTGCTAACAAAACTGGATATCTGTTTATCGTGGTCACGAAAAGGCACGAGAAGCTATAAGATGAGTACTGACGTCGACTGTTGTGAAAGCTCTGACATCAACGCTGACAACACAACTGAGGCGAGGTCTTTGTTGTGTATACCAGCTTCCACTAGCTCTGTCAACGGCGAACCCGCAGGAATAGTGTGATCTCCGAGAGGAAGATCTTCTCGAGATGTGATATTTTGGAGGGCCGTTGAATTGACGCTCAAAAAACGTCGAAGCAGCTGATACGAGTACTCGGGCTGATGATACGTCCGGGTCCTCGGGTCATAAACGTAAGTCGTAGACGAATTGACCAATTGAATGGCTATGTCATATCCAGTTTAGATATAAGAGAAAGCCCTTACCGCCCAGATGACGCACCTCTAGGTATGTATAAGACGATCCAATTATTGTGCGTAGCATACTCTACTGTTTGAAGTAAAAGATAACTTTTACCGCAGCCCGACGGCCCAGCTGAAAGAAAATGAGTTCCCCTTCCATCATTACGGAGGATAAGATGCACTCATTATAAGTCTTGTATCACGACTTGGCGTCATGCCAGCGGCATCTAATGTGTCCACAGCCTTCAAAGTTACATCTCGAACAACGGAACACGGTTTTGACAAAACGCGAAACTGTGCCCCTCGTAAGTGGCTCTAATACTGCTATATACACATACAAGCCTCACCTCGATCAACAAGTTCTTGGGAACACCATACGCGCGAATAGCTTCGTTCTCAGACATCGGGAACTCCATGGCCAAGCCAATTGCCGCATCAGTCAAAGCCTCCTAGTGAAAGGACGACATCAATAAGTATGTGTATGCAGTAGCGCGACTGCTATAACACAATGCACGCACGGGGGAATAGGTCGGCAATGTTAGACTGCTACGATAGTCACTTTTAAAGACCGGGTCCGTCAGCTGGTTAACGGGAAGTGGCTTAAATAGCTATTATGAAACAATATGAGCAAATTCCAGATAACGCGCTGATAATATGACATACTCCAACGTTGTCTACTTTCAGCTTCTTTCTTGCATCATCGCCTTTGTTCTTGTTCCCCTTGAACCCCTGTGCTGTACAAAACAATCAATTGTGCACAGATACTATTGTATCAGGGTATGTAGGACTACATAACAAGATGAATCTTACATTGATGTTTTGCAGCCGGAGTCTTCTTTGCCTGTGCGTATCCCCTCGTCTGTCTCACTCGTGGAATGGTGCAACGAGAGGCGGTAGACAACTGTTCAGCAAGCACGCGGCTTGAACGCATGATAGACAACCCGGTCATTTTGCGGTGACAGCTAAGAAGGAGAAGCGTCGTTCGTCCGCAGGGTGCCCGAGCAAGCGGGATTAGACCTGCTGGACTCGCTCGCTGGACGCGACCGCGACGGGCGTTTGAGACCATGTGACCTATCATCGTAATTGCATTGCTCAGTGCCGGAGTTGCGCTTCTCGCCAGTTCTCGCCGCATTCAAGTTCTTCGACTGTTCCCGCACCGTCCTTTAGTATGCATATATTGAGACATCTCTGGCGTCACAGCTGCTCTTGGAGCACATAGCACCTGGGAAGACAAGTTCAGAAACGAGCGCATGTCATGGGGTGGCGACGCCTCACTGGTAGGCTTCTGAGTGCATCTCATAAAATGCTCAAGCCAACGACACTGCTCCGGCGTATCCCAGACGCCTTCGCCCCTCATGCCAGGTGTGTTGTACCTTGATCATAATATTAACTTAATTGCTGAATGGGAATCATTCAGAAAAGTTCACCATTCCTCGACGTGCTATCGCGATGCCTAGGCGTATCCAGAGCGTGACCTCTTGTGCTCGCGCAATGGGCTTTGAAAGCCCATCTGCACCCTTATTTCGTATTTTCTCTGTAGGTTTCTTGAGCCAACGATCTGACAACATCCTTTCCCCCTAATGTACGCACACAGAAAACACTGCGAGAATTGACAACCGAATTACTGGATGAGAGGAATTCATTAAAAATGCAGGATGAGGATAAGTGGAAGCATTTCCATGCAGAGGTGAGCACCAGCGGACTTGGTTCAGATGTGATTTGCTGAGCCATATGCATACAGGCTTGTCGTAGGATGCGCTGGTTACAATTTTACGAGAATGCTTGGCCTATCGAATACTACTCCAGGAAACATTTAGAACGTTGTCATTACGAATACAACAAACGCCTACACATTGCGTCGAAAACAAAGAAGGGGAAATCGATATCACAGAAGCCACAGCGTCCCTCAGACTGTCAGCGTTCTCGCTTACAGCATAAAGTGAGCAGAATTGCTCCATCATTACTGGTAGCTGACACATATATCGCATTAGAATCTAGCTAGAACTATATCCCAACCTCAAGATACCTCATCTTGTATGGTCACTATAGATCACATCAAGCAGTCCTCACATTCTGCGCCTGCTCCGGCTGGTGATGGCGCTGTGGTACCAGACACTGTGCAAACGTGCGTCAAGCTTCGTCGATGTGCGCTCATCCCGCACGCAGGACACCTCTCTCTTGGACATCACGATGTCGTTAAATTCCTCAAATCACTCCATCCTAATATGGAGCACCTCAGGGCGAGATTCTTCGCAGCTGGGATCAACAACAGAGATTGTCTCCACGCATTAGCGGAAATGCCCGATGGGGATCGTTATCTCCTACTGAGACAGGACATGCTACTTGAGTGGTTTCCGTTTTATATTGTGTGTGCTGGATTGGCAAAGATGGCTCCGAAAATTTGATCTTGGTATGCAGTTTATACTTTCGAGCACAATTATTTTGAATATCAAGCTTAGGCTTGATTATGTCTGGTTTATGATTCAATATCGCCGTACATTTATCCTGGTATGGAATTGAAATATTCCTGTATCTACGTCTACGGTAGCTGATACTAATGACTATAAGATTTCGCTCCAGCTTGAGCTTTGCCTGAAATGGGTCAAACCCTTGTGGCCCTTGCAGGTCAATCTATCAACTCCGCACGTCGCTTTGGAATCTATTCATCAGACGGCCCGTATGCCCTGGGTGGGAGTATCGTGGGATGAGAAGCCCCTTGCATCCTCGGTACGAGAACTGTGGGATAAGAAGTCCTGCGATCGGTTTCTCGGAGAGTCCAGCGAAAAGCCGTGGCTCATCGATCGTCCACGCAGAGGTCGAGTGATCCAACCGAGCTTGTGTATTTCGGCAGCTCGTCGAAGTTTTACGGAGGCAAGACGACCCTGAAAGTCAGTCTCGATTCGGACGCAAATTGAGCCATTCCAGTTGACCCAGACTCCAGGTCGCTGTGACTGGCGATCATGTCTTGGGATTATATAGCGTTCACCAGCTGATCCGGGCCGACGCATGCTCGAGTCCTATGATTCTTCAGCTGATCATGTTCTTCCTAGCCTTGCTGCATTTTTCTCAAGACCCTGGAGTTCCTGCGCTGTGACCAATACCCGACGGAGTGCCACAGGATGTTTATAAACACCCAAAGGAGTCTCGCCTGTGCTTTACGGCTGCTTAGGAGCCCATGAGGACTCGGCTCATCTTATGATGATGATCAAGACTGGCCTTCTAGCTGTCCTCCAGCTGTCGTTGCTCTGCCTATCAGCGCTTGGCTCGCCTGTCGCTTCAGCAACTTCTGCTCCGATCGTGGATCTTGGTTATGCACAATATCAGGGTGCTGTAAATACTACTACTAACACCACGAGCTTCCTCGGTATTCGTTATGCTTCTCCTCCTATCGGTACGCCCATTGTATGTGCTATATTTCCAATTCGCACCAACCTGTTGTTTAGACAGCTTGCGTTGGGCGGCGCCGCAGCCCCCGCCAACGTTGACCGGCGTACAACAAGCGACTGAGCAGCCAAACGAGTGCTATCAAGCTCCGAACGGTAATGCTTCGACCGACTCTTTCATCACCGGCTCCCTGGCCAAACGCGCCGTCAGCGAATCGGAAGACTGCTTATTCCTGAAGTGAGTACGCCTGACTGGACATTCGGATTGGACGCGTTCATTGATGTGGCAGACTAGCGTGTACACCCCGGGTGATACAGTTACCGCCGCGACATCTGGCGGCCTACCTGTTATAGTTTGGATTCATGGAGGAGGGTACGAATGCGTTCTTTGTAGGCTACACAATTCTTATTTTTGACATTCTCAGATACTCCTCTGGTGCTGCGAGCCTATACAATGGCGCGGACTTAATCATGGACTCTGATCACGGCGTCATTGTGGTGCTCATTCAGTACCGTCTTGGTCTGTTTGGGTTCTTGTCTGGCGAGGCAGTCAAGGAAGGCGGTGCTTTAAACGCTGGGCTTCGTATGTTCCCGCGTTTAGCTCAAACAATAGCGACTCATTTCTTGCAGTTGATCAAAACTACGCCTTACAGTGGGTCCAATCACACGTAAGTTCGCCTCGTGAGCTCCTATTTTTATTGGTCACTTACTTTCGACGATGGTGTAGATCAACACCTTTGGTGGCGACCCGTCGAAAGTGACAATCTGGGGTCAATCTGCGGGTTTGTCGAACATCAACAAGTTATTTGACAAGGTAGCTGGCGGGAATCTCTTCTTTTCACAGGGGCTGGCTCTGTCTTGC